AAAAGGCTAAAGAGGTAATGAGGAAAAAAAACAAAAAGAGATGCCCCCTACTGGAGGCTCTCAAACTGGCTTGTCTGAAAATGGGGAGGTGGAACCCGACTCTCACGCAGAGTCTGGTTTAGAAAATTCCCCAGAGGGCTCTCTAGAAGGTCCCCGTCTGCTCCTGATGACCCTCACGGAGGCCCCTCGGAGTCTGACTCTCAAATAGCATCTGCTGTAGAAGATGCCGCTGACGGTCCCATAGAGGAACCCCCAAGTAACTCTGAAAATGCAGAGGTGTATATGGAGAGAGTGAGAAGTTGGCAACGTGAATTAGATTTGGGGGGTCGGTGTATTGTGAGGAACTTCGTTTTGTCAATCCTGAGTGAATAAATTCTGCTGAGGATTTCTTAACTCAGGCCTCAAAGCTGCTACAGAGCAATAGAGAGTTGCCTCTCGATGGGACGTTGCGCCTCGTTGTGACAGTTGTAAAAAACAGGGGTCAGGGCGCTCATAGAGTTTTACATTCTATCCGCGGTAGTCAAATCCTCCATAAAAAGAGACGATGCTTAGTAGACCTGTTTTACACCGGTACCAATCTGTGTTTTGCAGGTGGGCTCTTGGCCATTATGTCCGACCGTCAACCTACACACGCGGAATTGTTAGCGGGGGCGAGAAAGTTGCAGGAGAAACTGGGGTGGTCAAATCAAAAAAAGGTTCTGCTCAGTGACGTAGCAACGTTTGAACAGCATTTAGGAGTCAATATACAGGTGGTGCTGTATGCAGCGAAAGGCGGATGGGGCTTTTTTAAAATGGGGGGCCCAGTGTACCCCAAGACTTTTTTCATCCTGTTGCACGATGAGCATTACTATGGGGTTCTGGAGGTGAAAATGTTGTTTGGTGTGAAAAATTATTGTGAGTTTTGCCACATGGTGTACAGTCACGGCCACTCTTACAGGTATCGTTGCCGCCTCTGTTTGAGCGTAACATGCTTGGACAGCATGGGTGTGCAGCTGAGGTGTCCTAGCTGTAGACTGTATTGTCGATCCAAAGAGTGTTTAGACGGACACGTCGACTGTGCATCGAAAAAACAAGTCGAATGCCTGTCTAAAACTTTGTGTGATAAGTGTCAGTCTTATGTGGACAAGCGGCACAGGTTTAAAGGGAGGCGCTGTAAGCAGTGTCAGGGTTTGATCGCTGGTGATGTAGACAGTCACCTGTGTTTTATGGACAGCCTTAGAAAGCCCGAATCATCAGAAAAGTATCTTTTTTTATGATTTTGAATGCACGCAGGAGACTGGGTTGCACACGCCCAATTACATTTTTGTTATGTCCCTAAAGCCGGAAAAATCCTGGGAATTTAAGGGCGACGAGTGTCTTTCTATGTTTGTTGAGACCTTTATTGGCAAAGAGTTCCAGGACTACCCGTTCCTAGCGCACAATTCCAAAGGTTACGATGCGTACTTCATCGTTAGACAGTTACTGAAGGAAAAGATGTGCCTAGAACTGATCACTCAGGGTACCTCTTGGGGCCAGATTCACCAAAGGGCTTAAGTGCCTAACTGATGGTTTAGGCACCTAACTGCCAGAATCAGGCCCCACTGGGATTCCCAACCCCCCACCCAGCTGCTGCCCACCACTGCAGGGTCCTAAATTCACTTGAAAGTTGTTTACAACAAGAGGGTCCTAGGAGAAGGGTTTAAAACCCTGCCCTATGGCTTTTAAAAATGGATACGAGGTGGAAACACCCCTTTTCTGCAATTCTCGCGGGGCCTAGCAACTGCGGGAAAAGTTACTTTATAAAAAATGTGTTGGATAATGCCAAACAAACACTGTCTGTTATGCTTGAGAATATTGTGTGGTGTTACAGTTGTTGGCAACCTCTGTATAAAGAACTGCTTGTAACAGCTGGGGTTGCTGACCGAAAACATGTCTAGCTGTGTAAAGAGAAACCTGGTCCTTTTAAAATTACTTAGCAAATCGTCCCCACAGCAAAGGAGGGCTAGACTATGTTCGGCCTCTGACGATTTAGTAGCGGCCATCTCAGAAATAGCGCTCAAGTTCCCAACTTCCCTGGGGGTGTAATAGATTTTCTTTAACAGAGCTGCCTAGACATGACTTTTACTGGTACCGTCTTTTACTAACACAAATATGAGAGGGGACACATTCACATTGACACAGTTAAATAAATACGTTTTATTAATCGCCTGGTTTAACGCGACCTTTTACAGCCGCCTGTAAAAATGGACTCCATAAGGGAGTCTGAGCTGGTTCATTCTTCCATTTTGTCCTTTTCCAGATTTTCGTCTTGATATCTGTGTCTCATATCATGCATCAGCTGTTTTTGCTTATGTCTATTTACTCCCACGGGGCTACCGATGTGTAAGTTCTCAAAGGCTTCTAGAAAGGCGTTGTTGAGAGATTTTCAGAAAAGAAAGTAAGCACCCCACTGCTTGTTTTTAGATTCACACAACCCAACGGTTCCTAACCCCATTACACCCCATCATCAACCGGCACTTCTTAATCACTTATTTACCTGAGTGACGTCTTTTCCATTCACCTTGTCCTCCGGTGACTCCCCCAAGCTTTGTTCGCCTTCCTCCTCCACGGGCGTGGACGACAAGAGGCCACCACGCTCATCAGGGTGTCTCACAAGCAGTTGGGTTTCGGGTTCTGGCGTATCCATCAACGGCTGGGCCAAAGGGCTCCCCTCGGTTGCTCCCTCCTCCTCCTCGGAACTGTCGCTGATGTAGCGCTTTCTCCATGGATGATCAAAGGCCCTCGGGGCTAAAACAAAGTCCAAAGTTCTCACAGGGGTGGTGAAGGAGTCAATCCACGTTTCCACGATTTCTAGAGCACGCGTTCCTGGTAAAAGATGGCCTCTTCTGCCCCGGCGCTGGGACTTATGGGGTGATGGTGCTGCACTCTGATTGGCAGAGGGCGCTGGGAGGAGTTTTTAGAGGGGTCACATGACCCTCTTCTGGGCGGGTCAACCCGCCCTGGAACACCCCTGCTTGGTCAAATCTGCTCTCAGGGCGGGTCTATGGGGGCGAAACCCCTCCTGATTGGTAGAAGGC